GAATCACAAATACACAATAATTTCATTTACCACACACTTTCAAGGGATGCAAGAAAAATCTTGAGATATGATAGTGAGTTAAGATAAGACTACAATAGGTAACAAGTTTCAGTTATTAACTTATCCCTCTATTGCATTAACCAGTCAACAATCTTATTCTAATTGATAAAGATCATTGTCAAAAAAAAGATCAATCACCCAGAAGGAAAGATATTAATGTATCACACTGTCCTGGGCAGCATTGATCACTTCTGCAAGTTCAGACATTTCCAAATTAGTTAACATTTTCAGACCACAAATTTAGGATCGCTAATTGCTCAACTGTAAGTTATAACATGACAACTAATATTAGTCATTGAAATCCCCAGTAAAGAGGGGTTCAGGAGTGAAGACCAAGTGGAAGCCCCACAGTGAGCTCGGCTACTTGTCTTTATTTTTCTCTGATTTCTCTTTGCAATTCCATAAATATGCTAATGCAATTATGCATATTAATCCAGTAAAAAAAAAAAAAAAATTATATAAAAAAAATTATATAAAAAAAAAATAAAAAAAAAAAGCCAAAGCATCACAACTAACAAAAGCACCAGCAGTGACTAGGAGGAGCCAACCTGCAGATATTTCAGCTTCAAACATTTCATTTACATGTGAAGAAGAAGGAGATGTAGCTACAGCTCCAGTCAAGCAACTGATAGAAATAGCCTGTGAGATAAAATTGTGGAAACTTTCCTCTCAATAACAAAATTTAGGATAAATTCAGAATGATTAGTTTCACTAAAATAGTGCAGTCAGAAAACCAGCCAACTAACCAGTAAACTGGTTTGATCATTTTTAAATGAAAAACCCTCCTCAATCCTGAATCTAGGAGATGAAAGGACTCTGGGCAACAACTCTCCAGGCATCCTCGAATACCAAAGGAATACATCAAGCTATTAGAACAAATCCCTCAGGAAAAAAGCATATAAAGAACAATCCCAAATTCCCAGTTAACATAAACAAGTGTTCTTCATTCTGAATACTCTCAATTTTTTAAAAGTTTGATACTAATAATCTACCTTAACAAATCACATCAATTCTCTTACATAAACAGGATTTCCAAAAAAAATAAATTAGTGGCAAGGATAACAAGAAAACTTCACATCAACGGGGTATAAATAGTAAATAAGTACAGAACTTGGTCGTTTCAATCTTCTTCTTCTTCTTCTTCCTCTTCAATCTTGATCGTGTCAATAAAATTGAAAAATTCACTGCTGTTTTTCTTTGGATTACATAGTCTAGATAAATAAAAAGGTCAATAAGTGTACTTGCTATTTTAAAATTTTGTCAAAGCGCAAATGGTGGTGTGTTTTGGTTCAAGGATCTAATAGAACTGAAAATAAAACTCAATTGTTGCATTACAGAACGACTATTTTGTCAATCATGAATTTTGGGGTTGCAATTGAAGTGTTCAACAAACCCAGTCACAAAACACTGCAATAAAACCCACCAGCCCCTCGCCGCGTCATTCATTACGTAACAAAATCAAAATCTGTTATTGCAGTATGAGGTACATAAGGATGGGAGACATGGGGAAGTAATTGAGATAGACTACTTCCAGCCATACCTACTCCCAAAAGCAATAAGGATGGGAGACATGGGCAAGAAATACATGATGAACCAAGGATATGAATCTACACATTAAAGCATGAAACTGCAAGTGCTTTACCATCGTAGCCAAAAGAAATAGTTTCACCAAGTATTTCTCAAAAAAAAAAAAAAAAAAAAAAAAAAAAAAAAAAGTTTCACCAAGTAAACCTAGGGAAAACTTTTGGGACAAAAAATTCACAACACCCCACTTTGCTCCTCCGTTAGCTTTTGTTAATTTTAAGCAATGTTGATACTTACATAATCTCCAGGATGCATAGTTAATCATTTTGACCTTTAAATGAAATCGATTTATCATTATCCTTAACGGATCCTCCAGAACTCGATGCTCCAAGTTTGAATGACTTATCTCCAGGGCTTCCCTCAAACATTCAACTCCTTGTCTTAGAAAAATGTCCTCCAACTCTTCCAAACATCTAATTGTTTCTCTTGGACCGAAGACGAGTGGATGTCACACTCTTATCAGTTATCACAGACTACCTCATTTCAAGTTCTTGGTCTCCAACTCCCCACAATCTCTATAACACTTGAAACCCCTCTATGGCCCTATCCCCAGAACAGAATAAGAGAGGGAAAAGGAGATATGTATCCCAGGCACCAAGCATGCATAATCCTTGCCTCATATTACATGAAGCTCAAGGTTTTCAAATTTAGCAAGAAACATACAGCAGAAAGAAATCAGAAAGTAACGTGCTCTAGACTGGTGTAGCACAGAATAGCAAAGAACAAAAATATTTACGGTGTGGATGATATCAACAGCATGAGAATCTTGAACAAGGAAGTCAATAGTCCAGTATGCCTCTCGTGTTGAATCAAGTATAGCACACCTGCACCATCAACAGATATTTATCCATCGGAAATTAAAAGGGAAGAAAAATGATTTAAGAGAAAAGCAATTTTTGTTAGCATACAATATCAGAAGAAAACAAATCCTCAACATAAAGAGTTCAGATCTTGTGTATACCTGCGTGAGTTGCATGAGTATCTGACCCATAGAGCTTGAGAGTGCCATGTAAGAACCACATTTAGTTGAATCCCTGTATTCTGCAACCTGCAGAGCTACAGAGGAAGGCTCCTCCAGCATGGCAGCAATCGCTGAGGCAGATGCCACGCGTGTCTAGCAAGCAAATGACAATGCATGATTAATAAGCATGTGTAGGAAGAATGATACAAGGTTCCAGAAAACAAATGAACTGACTAGACAGTGTCAAAGAATAATATAACACTCATAAAATGGTTCTTGAAGCCACATTAGCAGAAAGTAATGCAATAATGTAGTTTTATCAAATTGAGGCATCAGTACCTTCAAGAATGGATCAAATAACAAGCAAGTCATCAAAGTCGCCTCATACTTCCTGCAAATAAGCTAGCAGTACCTTAAGAAATTGATGAAAAAGCTCAAAGAGATCAAAACTATTTCAATTATGTCTGCAAGGAAAAAGATATAGCAAAGAGGAACCACATGCAAAATAGCAAAATATGTTATGCAGAAGAGCACAGGCGCACAGCACCAAGATACGCATATAATGATCAAAGAAAAAAGTACAACCAAGTCAACCATAATAGTGATAAACTGATAATAAAATTGACAAATAAAAAAAAATACAAATAAAGATAGACAACAAGAGACACATATTGTTCACCTTGGTTGAAGTACATCATTAGTTGGCAAAAGCATTGTCCACTTGGCAATGAAAGCCTTTGGATCAGCTTCACAGAGATCCTACAAACCCATAATTATGGAGGAATATAAAAACATTGAAAGTGAGAACTAATCAATCTTAGGTTCAGTAATAAGCTAAACGATAATATGCATGGCAGAAAAACTTAGTTTATCAGGTTCTAACTTTTTCTGCTCAATGTAAGCTGTGTTCTTTAATCATTTATCAAACAAAGAAGTCCCTCTCACAAAAGATACAACTCGCCTTCAGCTTGTACTAAAATACTGGGCAAGGCGTTGAGTATTATTTAGGAAACTGCAATTATTTATAACTAAAACATTCACTACTCCATACAGTAAAAAAAATGATGACTTTTACTTGAAAGGCTTCACATGGTCACACGAAGTTCCAACGGACAATTTGAAGAAGTGCAACTTGCAATGTTAAGACTGGTACAAAAAGGAAAGGAGTGATTAAAAGAGTATCATCGGAGAGAAAAAAAGGTATGCCAATCACGGTTTACATTACTAAGAAAATGCAACCCAAAAAGGTATGCCAACATGAGATGTACTTCTCTGTCCCATAAAGCTGTCCGACTCATATTTAAGGTTTCAACTACACTATAGCCCTTGCTATTAAGAATGCCTTGCCCCTCTGGCTCAGGAAACTCAAACAGGTGACAAAATAGATGGTGAGTGAGCAGACCCAATGTCACAACACCAAACTGCCTGTTAAAATGACAAGTAGCTACCTCACAATGCACAAACAAATGATACCATACTTTATACTCTGACAGCACAAGACAGACACACCTAAGACACATACTTATAATTGCTAAATGCTAAGTCTGCTGAGTGACGACTGTCATTTGTGTTGAGCCTCCTCAAAAAAGCCATCACAGAAAGGTTTACTGTCATTGAGATGAGACCTGACAATTCCATATGTAATTGGCATAATTAGAGAGAAAGGTGTGGAGTATCAGTAAATGGCTACAATATATATATATATTGAAAGAAAAAAAAAAAGCCCATTTACCATTCCCTCTTATATGGAATATCTTTAAAAGTATAGTCTGCTACACCCACACTAGTCAAATCACCAAAGATAGCTCCCAAAGAAGAAGAATAGATGTAACCTTGAACAAGTTTCAGAGGACTGGAATAATTCTGCATGACTATTAAAGTGCTATAATTGCTGACATAAGGAATAATTCTGCATGCTTAAAAAGAGAATACATACACATTTGCCAATATTAGTTTAGATGAACCTGAATTTAGAACAAATGAGGATTGCAAACAGAGAATATAATTCAAAATCCAAGTTTTAAGGAAAATTTCAGATTACAACTTCAAATAACAAAGTTGATGTGTAATTTCAAATTCACTATATACATTATAATAGAAATTATGACCAAATTTGGGCAAGAAATTAAATATAAAAGACTGCTACATGCATGTATTCAAACCAAGCTAAGCTTGACCTAGTCGAAAAGGAACCTTATTAAGAAAAATCTAACATATACATATATATATACATATATATATATATACACACACACACACATTATTAAACATCATAAATATTCAAATTGAAATCGATCAGAATTCAAACAAAAAATGTTATAAACTAAACTAAACTTGGACTAATAGAAAGGACTATAACTTATTAAAAAAATCAAAAATATAAATATAGACATTATTAAGAAAATCATAAATATTCAAATTGAAATTTAGTGCAAATTAACTTAAAAGTTTCATACAAAACTACCATAAGGATAATAGCATATCCCCTTTATTACTAGATAAGCTTCTCTATAAGCGAAAATGTTCAAAGAAAAGGAAAACTAGTAATATCTAAAACTTGGGTATAAACCATGTAGGAGACGTATTCTCGCAAAGTGCATCGTCACCTTGGTAAAACTTTTTAAAACACAAAGATGTCATATCATACACACCCATATCATGTCCACGTAATCTCACCCTTCCATGTCTCCAAAAGTCTTTTTCATCATCGGTAAAGTAGATAGCATTTCTTTGAGCATTTGATATATCAGCAAACATTGATGTGTTATTACCGACAAAAAAAGAAACATCCATCAAACATTCAACTTTTTCCCACAACTTATTCTCAACGTCAAGCTTGTACACAAAAAAATCATATGTACGATAGTCCGAATAACCATCATCATCTAAAAAATCCTCCTTCATTCGAGAGACTACATGCAAATGACCATCAATCACCACCATATACATCTCTCCATTCCCCGCAAGTACATATCTAAAAACATCACATGGAACCGGTAAATAAAGTTTGGCCGTAAAATCAGATTTCATGATATCACAATAAGCAAGTGTTCCGTCTTGATATAAAATGAGTAATACTCCGTCCCAAAAACACACATCAATTACTTGATAATATCTAGCGCAAGATGTATGTATTGGTGTTCATGTTTGGTCTCCAAGACGAGCAAATGCTAGATTGTCATGCCTCCAATGGATCGCCATTACAAGAAAATCATCACTTTGAGGCATTTTTAAGACAATGAACTTGCGTACGCTCAATTTTTTCCAATCAATATCAAAGTATAACTGATCATTAAAAATATCATCTTCTGGATCGATTGGCAACGTTTGCAGGGATGGGAGGTTTAGTCGAGCTTTGGTGATTGGATTAAATAACTCGATCTTCTTGTTAAGGTGTAGCATCAAGATAAAGCCATATGGAGAACCCCAACATCGCGCCCCAAAAGTCTCCGGGAGACTTAATTCGTAACACTTATTATTTTTTTCAATACTTAATATTTTCCGACAACCATCATCATTATTTTTATTCGTAGGCTCGCCTAGTAACAACCAAGGTGTTGTTGGTTTATCAACACGACTCCACTCGAGTTTAACCATATTGAAGGCATGATTCCATGAATGACATACCGCAGAGAAATAAACCAAGTCCTCAATTGAATCCAATTTCAATGCAATTATACCAAGGATATCTTTGGGCAACATAGACCAATAATCACCCATCTAATAAACAACATCACAAACATATAATCAAATCAATAATCATAATTAATTACAATCAATAATTCAATCAAGATCCTATATTGAGTATATTCACAACTAAATTAATCGATTAACACTAGAATGTGTGATTAATATTCAATAGATTATAACAAATTATATATCCTCTAAATTGGCCAGATTATCAAATTAAAGGGTTATATAAACCAAACTATCAAAAATATGAATAGCAAAACAAGCATCATGAGTACCTAATTAATACTTTCAATAAAATTAAAAAGCCTAAATTTAAAAAGCTATATGACCAAATCATCAAAAATCTGAATTACAATATTTTAACAACAGTATTTAATCATAACCGATTTTTAAAACCCTAAATTGTCAATAAAATTAACGATTATGTGAAATTGATATTCGATGATGAAATTGCAATATCTTACCTAATAAGCCTTTTCAAAGGTGGTGCTATTAAGCTCAAAAAAATATACTGTATAGACTATTAAGTGCTCGTAGTGCGTTGTTAAGGGAGAGGAAATTTTATACAGAATTTTACATGTACAGTACAATACAGAGTACTGTACTTTTTTTTTTACACTTGCCTAAAAAATAACTTACTAATTTTGAATATTCCTAACAAAATAAATAAATAAATTTAATCAAAAAAATAATTGTCGTTGTTTTATGTTTATTTTATTTTTTTTGTTGAAAAAAAATCTTTGTTGTTTTACTTTCCTTTAACTAGTTTTGATGACCTGGTAATATTTCTTTGTTCGTTCATTGAATTTTAAGATAGTATTTTTCTTTTTGTTAATATAATAAATGATTAATTATTAATTTTCAATCTCACAAAACTTTTACAAACGGTGTTATGTAAGAAGTACATATCCCTTTTGACGTAGCATAATTTGACATAAGAGGCGAAACTCATGCTTTGAAATTTCAATTAGGGCTATCTCAATCTCATGCTTTGAGATTCAGCCATCTAGTTTTAATGGTTTAGACTTTAGAATTAAGTTATAACATACAACTACACAAGTACTCTACATGAACATGAACATGAATGACAAATATGGCTTGTACATTCTTAATAGGAAATTTTCACATTTGCTACCACTAAAAACACCACGCTTCACATTTGCTACATGTTAAATTTTTTTTTTTATTTTACTACCACCTAAAACAGAGTTTGTTAAAAATCACTACCACATGCCTTATTCTGTTACTATTTCCGTTAGTGGGCCCACTCCATCGTTTAGCCACCCCTCCAACCACCTTGCAGCCACCCCTCCTCCTCACTGCCACCCCTCACCTCCCCCCTCCCCCTGCCGGCGCCGCCGCGCGAACCCACCCCCTCCCTTTCCCCCACCCTATGCGCATCCAATCCCCCCTTCCCCGTTCTTGAGCTCCGACCCCCCACCCCGAACGAAAACCACCCCCTTTCCCCTTCCCTCCACCGGAAATCAGCCCCCCTCCCCTGATTCCCCCACCGAAATCGACCCCCCTCCCCTTCCCCTACCCTTTTCGGCCATCCCTAACCCTAAACCACCACCCCAAAACCACCCTAAACGAATTTTAGGGTTTCAGTTGTGGTGGTTTTGGGGTGGTGGTTTAGGGTTAGGGATGGCCGAAAAGGGTAGGGGAAGGGGAGGGGGGTCAATTTCGGTGGGGGAATCAGGGGAGGGGGGCCGATTTCCGGTGGAGGGAAGGGGAAAAGGGGTTACGGTGGTGTTGGTATGGGTTTTGGGGGTTACGGTGGCGGTGGTGGTTTGGGTTTGGGGGTGTCGGCTTTGCAATTTTGGGTGGGGAAAAGGGAGGGGGTGAGGTCACCGGCGCCGGCCGAATCTTTAGGCGCCGGCCGCCGGAAGGGGGGAGGGGGAGGGTGGCAGATTAGGGGAGGGGGTGGGTGGGGTTGCTGGTTTTTTTTTTTTTTTTTTTTTTTTTTTAAAAAAAATCTTTTTAATTTTTTTTTTTTAATAAACTGATTTAGGTGGTAGCAAAGTAAAAAAAAAAAATTAAATAGGTAGCAAATCTGAAGCGAGGCGTTTTAGGTGGTAGAAAATGTGAAAATTTCCTAATAATTAATCATTTTCTCAACTGATTTTTTTTTTTTTTTTTTTGGGATTCTCAACTGAAAATTGATATTTGAAAAGTCTAATTTATAACATACAAAAACGTCTAATAATAATAATTATTATTATTATTAGGCTCGCCTAGTAACAACCAAGGTGTTGTATGTTTATTAGCACGACTCTACTCGAGTTTAACCATAGTGAAGGCATGGTTCCATGAATGGCATACGGCATACCGCATACCGCAGAGAAATAAACCAAGTCCTCAATTATTTCCAATTTCAATGCAATTATACCAAAGATATCCTTTGGCAACATAGACCAATAATCACCTATCTAAACAACATTACAAACATATAATCAAAACACTAATCATAATTACAATCTATTAGCACTAGACTGTAAAATTTATATTCGATAGATTAAAACAAATGGTTATCTATAGTAATATATAAAGTGAAAGGGGTTTTGGGTGATAAATTTTATTTTTCCAAAATACCCTTCTCATCTAAAAAAATTACCATTTTTTTTTAAATGTAACTACCATCTTAAAAAACTACCATCTTTTTTTAAAAAAAATATTTTTCAAGGAAAATCTAATTTTATTATTTAGCCTACATGACACCATCGATATAGAGCGTGGTAGATTACTTATATTGCAACGCACGCACGTCTCTTAGCTTGTATATATAAAGCGAACTATCAAAAATATGAATAGCAAAATTTTAGAAACCAGCATCATGAGTATTTAATTATAACCAATACTTCAAAGAAAGCCTAAATTTAAAAACCTAAATTATGAATTGCAATATTTTAACAACCGTATATAATCACAACCAATATTTCAGTTCAGAACCCTAAATTGAGTAAAACCAACGATTATGTGAAATTAACATTCAATAGATTAAAACAAATAGTACCTCTAAATTGGCCAGATTACCAAATTAAAGGGTTATGTAAACCAAACTATGAAAAATATGAACAGCAAAAATTGCAATATCTTACCTCAGAAGCCGTTACTTTCAATGGTGGAGACTCGAGACTGATCGAAGAGAAAGCTCAAAAGCCGCTTCAATGGAGGATTCAGAAAACAGTTTAAGGGAGAAGAAATTTTATTTTATAGAGAATACAGTAGAGTCGTTTTTTTTGGTTTTAGGAAACTTTATAAGCACTTTAAGCAGACAATTTTACGTTTACGTTTACAATACAGAGTTGTAGTTGGCTTTTACTTGCCTAAAAAATAGCTTACGAGTACAAATTTAGAATACTCGAATGTACCCATGTATTTATGGTAATGCACGAGATTTACTTAATTACTTTGTATTATCGATTTACCGTATGTATGTTCAAGGAAAAACAATTAGTACTACTGGATCTTGTGAAGAACTTGTTTGTACTGGACCTTTCCCCGCAGAGTATCATTACTCCGACGGAATTAATAAAAGCTCGTGCTACCTTTCCCTCAAAAAAAAAAAAAAAAAAAAATTAGTACTACCTCTGTTAAATACGAAGTATTTGTTGTAACTTTGTCAAACTTTTAAATAAAACGGATGTTCAGTAAATTATTAAACATCCGTTATAAAGTGACAATAAAATGTGCAAAAGTTACACTAAAACGCACAAAAGTTACCGTGACATATATAAGAGTTATTTATGCTTTATTGATAAATTTGACAAAAGTGACACTAAATTTGACAAAAATGACACTAAATCTGACAAAAGTGTACCCGATGTACAGTAAATTACTGAAAACCGGGTGTATACAAAAGTTTTCCTTTTATCAATAATCATTAGATAATATAAACATTTAAAAGTTTAATTCAAAGCACTATGGGATATCAACAAGTCGAGAAAGATTAAAATTGTTAATGTGACCCTAGGTATAATAACGTTTCGAACATACTTAATTCATTAATTGTATGTAAGTGCAACGCACATATAAACACGGAATCATCATCAATAACTATATGCTAAAAGACACACCAGTAATGACACGTGTCATCTCATGGTGTGTCCTCAGTTTTTTATTTATTTTTTATTTTTTAAGAAACAAATCTTATACAAATATAGCTCTCTAAATTTATACAATATAATTACTTAAAAAAAAATTGACATATCTTTAACACAAAATATTTTTATAGCTATAAAAAAGACATTCTTAACATAAGTTTGATAACTTTTTACACATTTTATACCTGTAATCCCTTATTTTGATCAAAATTTGTCAACTATATTTTTAGATTTTATTTTGTTTGATTATAAATTATAACGATAGTTTAAAAATGATTATTGAAAATTTCCGTGCAAGGCACGAGACCTAACCTAGTATATTTAAAATTATGAGTTAACGCACAAAAAAATATTAAAAGAGTGAGAACGCATCTTAAGATTTGGAAATTCCACAAGGCCGAAAGTCCAGAATAGGACTTAAACCATTTCTTTGGAAGAATAAGAATATTCCAACGAGTATCCTTGATTCTTCATGTTTCCATCAAAAGCAAGGAAAAATGCCCATTATTTAAGAAAATAAGATCTTATTATAATATGCTAATATTATGCTATTAATGAGTCAAAAACAATAAACACCAAAAAAAAATGAGTCAAAAACAATAGAATTAAATTCTCACCCTTTTTGCAACATTATTAGCATTGTTTGTCTCTTCTTTAAGCAGGAATAGTCATGTAAATCAAAAATTTGGAATTCCACAATTATGTGAATATGACATGATAAGCTGTTGGCAGCTTGTTAGCAATAGAATAGTAGTTTAAAAGATACTTATACGATATTCTTTATTCGATTGTCTATATAGGAATACAACGTGTACCAAATATAATGACTCGTCGTGCACATTTCTTTAGGTATACTTGAGTGTATGATAGAATTTGCAAACATCCTTCAACATAGTTTTTTTATAATTCTCTTACAAAATTATCAAAATGTGATTCTTAGATTCTACCCAAATGCTAATCAAGACAACCCTCAGAACCAAAGGAAGCTGGCAAAATTGTAGCAACCAAGGAAGTAGTGAAGTCCTCAAATAAGCATTTATGTACAATTGCATTAATCTTCTACGCAATAGCTAATACTATATACTTACTATATAAACATATGTAATTTATATTCATATTCACCTTACCAAGTAGCTAAAGCCTACCAGTAACTGCACTGCCCTTTTCAATTGCTGAATCTCTGATCGTAGTCGTAGATCCTTAATTGGCTTCTATTATTGTTACTACTATTGCTGGTTCCTTCGTCGTTTTGTTGGCTTCCCTTTTTCTTTTTTATTTCTGCACACATATCTTCAACTAGAGGCTTCCAGAGACGAACACGGGCATTGATGAACCAATTCGAAACCTGTTATGATATTGCATCAGTTGTATAGCATGATATTTGCATCAATGTACTACTAGTATGTTATTACTGAAGTAACAATGAAAATGTAGAGCATGGTATTTGCATCAGTTGTGCGTTTCAGATGCGTGCTATAATTTTGCACTTAAGATTGTAAAAAGAATGTAATTATACCTGGCTTCTTGTTAATCCACTTTTAATAGCAAGCAAGTGCTTCTCTGCATCTTTAGGATACCTGAAAACCAACAGAATTCAGAATTTTTTTCCTACTCAGAAAATTTTGCACCATATTAAAATCGAGATCAACAGATTTAAGTATAACTAAGCCAAATCATTATGATTATGCATACGAAATGACTTATAACAGTCATAAGATTAATTTCAAAGTAAAGTTGTCAGACCAAAACATGCAGCATCTCGGCATCTGTAGTTGAACATTAGCAAGATTGTCATGAAAATCTTAATGAACTAAAACAAGCGGAAGGAGAAGTAAAGACATTATAACTTGAATTGATAGAGCATAACAAGTAGGTTTAATGCTTAGAACGAGAGCTCATTATCAGAACCCTTCACTGTTTGTCCGTTTCTTCCAATTTAGTTCACCAGGAAGGCACGACAGAAGAATACTACTTCTTGAAGGTGTGATTGAAACCAGAATAGTCAATTACTACTATAATAAACAAGAAACACTTTTTACTAGAAATCTGATCAGTAAGAACCTAATATGTTTTCTTCACAGGATTTTTTTGACATGGACCGCTATGAATCTGGAATGGTGTTATTCTAACAACGAATAAGGTGATTTCAGAGGCATCAAAGTTTTCGGTTTTCCTTGCTATGCTCAGATGTTACAAAAAGGTAACCTTTGACACTTGAAATGGACTTTTCAACTCAAAATTTGAGATGTTCTAAGAGTAATAGTACACTTGTTCACTAGTCACTATAAAACTCATGTTTGTAGTGCCTTCAAAACTGCTAGTTATAAAAATAGATAAGCAGAATGATTACAGCATAATTTCAATCAGGCAGAGAAATGATGCAGAGTTAAGAAAGAAATGAACTATTATCTAGTTGATACCTCCTAGAAAAGTTTCTAATTCTGTCACTGCTGAAAACAAACCACAGATAATGTGTAGTCAAGAGGAAAACAGGCAAATCTCAATCCATGTACATAACGAAGTTTAAAAAACACTCACGGGTGAAGAAAGTTGTCGAACATCCATGCTCGTAATACTGAAACAGATCTCTCTGGCAAGCCTCTCTGAGGTCTCCAGAGTTGATCTTTTCTCTTCAATTGCTGGATCGCCCACTGCTTATGAATGAAAGATTTGTCAATGGTTATCCCACTTTCTCGAGCATTTCCATTATCCATTCCCATTGCTAGGATTTGATTGCTAATCCTCTCCCTCAGATTTTTGTAGAAGAATGAGATTGTTTGAAGGGCAAAACAAGAATGTAATTGAGGGTCCAGTTCAGTTGCAGCATGGAATGCAGATATTACCATGTGTATCTCATCTAAGCAGCGATTGTACCGATCATCCACCTGCAAGGTACAAATGTGAAGAATTAGACATGTTGGCCAAGTCAAGAAAACAAAGATATGCATGAGGTTATGATTATATATAGGCAAAGTTGACAGCCTACCATTTGTAACAGAGCTAACATCTGTGACCTCTTTGAGCTTCCGGCTGGAACTTCAAATAATCCATCATTGTCATGAAACTCGTTGGTATTCTTGAATGAAGCCCCCGGATCAAAGAAGTTGTTAGAAGAGAAAGGATGACTTGAACTCGAGTTCACTAAACTTTTATCACCGTTATAACTGTTCTTGTCTAAACTGTCAAGTGAGTAACTTGAGATTTCTGAAAGAATTTGCTGCATCACTGAAACATATCTCGAGCCAGGTGTTACTGGTGGGAACTGGACAGGCCTATTTTTAGAAGTGCTACCAAGGGAGAGCTCCTTGCTGCGATGAGACTTATGTTCTGAGCCTAACCTAGTTTGAGACTGAGAACTGTTAATAACACCAGAGCAACTCAAGTCCGAGGGAAGAGACGGCTCACAAGTAGCAAGACTCAGAGAGAGCTCATTATGAGATCTAGAGGTTCCATAAGGATGACTTGTGCAAACATGTGTGGAGCTTGGCAATACCCACTCATTATTTGCAACTTGACTTCCATTGAATCGTATTGGTTCAAGTTCAGAAGTTGATGGTCTCCAGTTCATTTCTTGCTGCATCAGAAATCTGTTATGGTCCCATTTGTCATTTACATCACCAAATGAACCATCATAGCCACTGTTTAGAGTGGTTGGAATGGAGGAACTTGAGGCATAGGAGCAGCCACCTGAGAACATTGCTCTTAGAGATTCGGATGGAACCTCTTGTTGAAGAGAAATTATTGAATTGTTCGCATCATTATTGAATCCATTTCTGCTGGCTAGAATGGTAGGTAATGAACCAGAAGTAAAAGAGGCGTCTCCCAAGCAACGCTCTTCATAATTGAAGTTACCTCGGTTTATTAGTCCATCAAAGCAGACAGTTTTATCAGCATGCATATCTTTAAAGGATTGCCCTTGAAAAGATGGAAGCAATGGAAGTCCAAGCATGCTGTCATTCTGAGAGTGCAGTTGGTAGAAAGCAGTTCGAAACTGTGACTCTGACAATGATTGAGGCATTCCATCAATGACTGTAGGTATACAGCTGGGAAGATCTAACTGCATATGTGGCTCACTGTCCATGATCCTCAACCAGTAAATCTTTCAGATTATTGCAACAAACAAATCAGGCATTCACCTCACCAGGTAGACAGCGCCATGGTTCACCACCCACGTTTGGTAAGCCTGTGTGCCGGTATCAGCTCAGGTCAATCATCTTCAGAGATTATAGACTTGCAAATTTCATTAGTTTACCTGGAAATAAGACAATATAAAACACTGTCATGACAGTACAGTTGCGGCTTTATATGAGCCCTGAAGAATGGAACTTGGGAAACATCACCATTTGCAGGCAACACAACCATTGCAATTTTCTAGCTAAGATTTTTAAGAATATGATGAAACATGAGTTCAATGTACATTGCTTTAGCACCGTATTAAACAAAAGCATAAGATAGCACAACTATATCTACAAACACGAGGTCTGTTGAATATGCATTCGTTACAGAAATCAACATGTAAATTCACTGGTCGATTATGTATTTATCAAACAAGCATGTCTATAAATAAGAGGGATCGCTCAAACTATAGCAGATTAGCTATGAGAGACAACAATAGATAACTCCCAATTGTCATCGAAAATGAGAGCATTGACAATTCAGTCTTCTTGACACTAAATATGCTGGAGCAGGACACAAACAAGACTATGCTTGATTTAGTTGGTAGTATTTCTAAGATGGTAGCACCATAACCATTTTGCACACAACTAGTTTGGCAAATCAAGCCTTCAGAAGAACTTTTTCGCTATTCACCTCAAAGCAACACTTTATGCCGTCTCCAAGTATATTTCCTCCCTTTCCTAATAATGTACCTAAAATGAATAAAAGAACATCCACAACCCGGTCTCTCAAAGCTCGTCACAATCTCACATAATAAAATGAAGTTTACAAAAACACCTCCAAGGTTAATATAATTATAATTCTACGAAATACAAAGACATTTATGGGGTCCTTGTACTAAGTGGGAATGACAATAGAAGGTTGAAGTTTAAGATCCCATGTTTGTTCATTACGAAGGAAACGACGAGTAGGATTAAGATTAGAAGGGTCCCTATACCAATCAACTACAAAAGAATGGAACAAGTACTAAAGCTAGGGAATTCAGGTGTAAAGTCTAAAGCAATCGATTTCACAATCATCCTCCCTCTGACATAATCCATAAGGATAAGGGTAACCAGGCCATATCACATAGTTGTAGCAATGCATTAGAAATTTTCATTATTTTCCTTCATTCTTGTTTCCTTTCATCTCTAGAACAAACTATCAAGCAAACAATCCAAAGACAAAACACAACACTTAACTTCTTCTTACAGATTTGGCTTATCAACCATGTCTAAATTATATTGTAAGTTTGTAACACTAAAACATATTAGCACACTTCTAAACTCCATATCCACCCAAAATTTGCATCAATTGGAAAGAAGTGGGACAGTCAATGAATATATAACAACAATTCAACAATAACAAGAGCATTCAAATGTGCACAGGTTCTAGTAAGTGAAATATGATGGAGTCATATGAAACACTCATCATTCTAACATATAAAAAAAAAAAAAAAAAATTACAAGTATATCACACTAATTTTAAGTAAAATACAGTTATCCTCAAGTTTGTAAGGCAACAGTAAAACCCTCAAAAATTGAAGGCAACATATTTTCTTAGAATGAATTAATATGCATCTTTTACACAGGATCAAGTCAAGATACTAAATGTGCCACTAAAAAGCAAGATAACAAGAATAAAAAAAACATCTGAAACAGAGAATTTTTTAAAAAAGCAACAAGCATTTTAAGAAAGTTCAAGTTACAAATGCCATAAGATAAAAGTTTAGCTCATATTATATACAGGGTAAGTATTACTTAAAATAAAGTTGGCATCAAATCATGAACACTAAAGTAAAAGAAAATCATATACAAAAAGAACTAACCTTTCTTTACAGTTCTTCTTAAGAGCAATTAAAAAACATCTCAACTTTTGCCACTCAAAAACTATGCCAAAAGTAAACAAAACAATGAAGAGGATCAAGAATATTCAAGCCACCAAATGACCCAAATGTAAGTAAGACTTGATTGATTTTACAACCAAATCTAAAAAACCTCAGAAATTGAAGTGAAGGATTTGAAATGAGTGTTGAGAGTTCCTTTTTATGTTAGATGGAAAAATAATTATAGCCCTTCCCAAATGTGTTTCCTAAGGACTACCCAAAACAAGAAATCATTGGTTGCCTCTTTTCCCTCCAACAGTGCTACAATTGTAAAATTGTGATTCTAAAGGAAAGTGCCACTTGTGAAATAGTTCCCCATTGACAATAGTACAATACCCTCGACTCAAAGGTCGGATTAGTCAGAGTCTAATAAGTTTCTCATTACTAGGTAGCTTATCGGCTTAACAATCTAATAGTAAAAAAAATTGTAAAATGAAAAAGGAATAGGAAATAGGACTTGTCCCTTTGATAATATTTCCGGCTCAACTTTAGATTAGTAAGAGTTTAGTAAACGGTTGAATATGGAGTACTTTTAAACCTGAATTAAAATTGAGGGAAGGGAATAGTAAAATGAAAAAGGAAACAGGAAATGGTTTTTTTTTTCCCCACTTGACTTTGAAGAATCAAACAACCCAACTGAATTAAAAAGCAAAAATCCAAATAATTTTTTCACAGAAATTACTACTGTATTACACTATTCGAAGTAAAATACACAAGTGTAAGTCCAAGGAAACCCATTTCAGAGAACCAAATTAAAAGAAGGAATATTGCATATATAGTGTCAAAATTTTGCCATGAAAAAATTTAATTTAAAGGGTAAATGGACCCATAATTCAGGATAAAGAAAAGAAGAACAACCACACACGTTACACAATTGCAAAAACAACAACCAAAAAAATCAAAAATAAAAAAAATCAGAGAATTTGGAGAGAGAAATTACATTACTTGGTGCAGTTCCACTCATTTCTTTTGCAGGCTAAAGAGGGTCCCATTTTTATTTTTATTTTTATTTTATTTTTTGGGGATTGATTTCTCTTTTTATCCTGATCATGAGTCTAAATTATCTGGGTCACTGCAATTATAATGATGATCAAAATTTATAGCTGGATTCTTTCACTTTCTGATCAAAGTTCTGTTCATGGCAGAAGATTTTTTTTTTTTTTTTTTTTTTTGGGTTTGTGAATTATAAAAAGGGGAAAAAGTAGGATACTTTATAGACCCATTTAGAGACAAAATCCTTGAGCTCATGTGATTGAGAAAGATGAGTAAAATTTTGGATTTTAGGGGTTTTCAGGAGGTTTTGAAATGTGGTACGAGGGTTTTAGGTATTGGGTTTTTGAGGGAAAGATTATGAAATAAAACAGAGTACCTCTGTCTTTTGAATTTTTGGGTGTTTGCCTTTTCTATTAGGGGGAACGTATCATCATTATTCATTAGCAATTAGCATCTATACGACTATACCCATTTAATTTGCGAAATTTTTTGTATCAAACGGTTTAATATTCAATCTTGGATACTCCGTATTACTCTGTTACTCATATAGTCATACTTGTTACCAATTAAGACTTTGTTTAATTCACCTTATTTTTACTTATTTCAAATAAAATAAGTTTAGATTAAAAAAAAAATACTGATCAAATCATCATTTTATGTGTAATTTTTTATCGCTAAAGATATTTAATTTCGTAATGAAAATAACTATGAAAATCATATATTAATAAAATACACATTATTGCAAATCTAACTGGACCTCACTTGATATTTTTTTTCCGTATAGATTATCGTTTATTTAAGGTTAAAGTTCGATGAAATATGTTATTCAAATCAAATCAGATCAGACCAGATCTAAAAAACAAATATAAGGTGAACCAAACAAGCCCTAAGATATAATTTCAGCCTGTTTTGTTCAACTTAATTTCAGTTCAGTTCAGCTTCAATCAGTTCAGTTCAATTTCCTAATTTCCTTCTCTCATAAACAATTCATTTCAGCTCTATTCAGTTCAGTTCGGTGTAGTTCAATTCAGTTAAGTTGTTTTCAGTAAGTCGAAATAGGTCCTTAGGTTATGCTATTTAGGACAAGAGTTTATTTCAATTTAGTTTAATCCAACTTGATTTATTTTTTCACTTTATTTCAATTCTAAAGAACAGGGTCTTAATGTAGTTATCAATGACTCACTAAGTCTTGGTCTAGTTGCAAAGGCTTAGGCTTAGGCTTAGACTTGTAGTCCGATCGTGATCTAGTATGATCATACAGAGTGACGAGTACAATGTAAGATATACTCCAACTTATGTACTTGTCATGTTATAGAAGGGTTTATTTTTTACCCTTATATTTTATCTAATATTTGCGGGCTAAGAATTTGGGAGTAGAGAGGAGATTAAGGGAATTTTTACCCCCAAATACCATCACTTGGTAGGATTCGAATCTCAGATCTCTAAGATATGAGGTAAGAAATTAAGAACCTTATCAAATGAGACAATCCTTTACTGCTATGTTATAGAAGTTAACTTAATCTGTCAAAGCTAAGCATTGGATTGATACTTTGGGATTGATACCCATTTTTTTTTTTTTTTTACATTTATAAATACAAGTTCTGATAAGTCCTTCTAAGTGAATTCATGATTGGCCTTGCTAGCGATTTCTAGTTTTTGGCTTAGAATTTCACAAGTAGTATAAGAAAGTAACAAATTAGACTTGTTCAGTCCTAAAGGCTAGACGTTGAAGACACATTCAACTTTTTGTTTAGTTGACAACAAAAGGCAAGATAAAAAAAGTTCGGCTAACCTGAGATATTCATAAGGAGTAGCCGAATACGAAATGGGAAACTAATATCTTCAATTTCGTATATATCACTACTTAAATTTTTATTATCGTTAATGAGAGAAATTCCGTAACGTCCATAGATATTTAATTCTTGTGTGAACCAAACAAACTCCTTGTATGTTAAAAACCTAAGGATCTAGTTTTGATTTAGTTAGAAGGAACTAAAATCGAAACAATGATGACGATGCAAGCACAAAATTAAAAAAGCAAATCTGATCAGGAGATCTACAGGCGAATTTATTTAGGGATGCTAATTAACTGGTTTCTAACTTTTTGTACTGCTCGAGTTGCCTTCTTGCCTTTCAGTTTTCTAGGCTCAAACTACTCGTACAGTCGTAGCAACGTCGAGCTAAACAAATGAGCCTATACTATTTATTACTATTACTATGTGAATAAATTTCAGTTACATGCATGCTAACATGCTACACCTTTCTAGCTTAAAACGTCACTAGTATTAGATATTTAGATATTCATATCATTTATGTAAAGTCTATGATAATAAAACCTTGTTAGATTATTCTATAAAGTGGAAGCTCATATGAAATTTACTTCAAGTCTAATTAATGAATTATGAGTATTTTTTTTTTTCTAGTACATCTTGAAAACAAGGTGTTGATTGTTGGCTTGTTGCTTGGTACACTAAACAAAGAAAATTTATCATGAACAAATGTAAGATAATCCTGAAATAGAAAATAAATGTTTTATATCTAAAGTTGAATTGAAGAGTTGATTGAGTGACTCTTCTTGACGTAAAAAGAGGCAAAATAATAATTAAATTGGAACGGTACTCATAGTATTATCGCTGCCTACTTAGGTTTTTTTCTCTCCAGCTTAATTTTATTTCACTTCAGTTCAGTTCCTAAATTTTCTTCTCTCATTAACAATTGAGTTCAGTTCATCTCAGCTCAGCTCAGATCAGTTCAGTTCAGCTCTAATCAGTTCAATTCAGTTCAGCTCAATTCAGTTAAGTAGTTAACGGACCCTTACTCTATTTCTCCTTGTGATTTCCACCTTTCTCAATTCTTATCCCAACTATGCGAAAATAACATATTTTTTTTTTCTAACCCCTTCCTTTTAGATAATAGCACTTTTGAAAAATGAAATTTATACTTCGTCTAACTAATTAATAGAAAGCAAAAATTATTGTAGGTTGAAATGTTCAAACATTTAAAAAAGAAACTCACATGGCATTTCTCATCTTACATATAATTACCAAATTGCTCCTCTTCCCCCACCCCTTTCTTTTTTTTCTAAACTTGTGTATTGCACTAAAGAATAAAGATGCTACTCCATATATTTTTATTTATTTTTCTATGGTAAAGAGGACCCTGGCCTAATCAGACCTCAATCCTTATGGTTTTTTTGGTCCAGTATTTGCAGGTCAAACACTTGAAAGTAGAGAGAAGGATAAGGGAATTCCTACCCCAGTACCCCTAAATACCCTTACTTGATAAAACTCGAACCTCACATCTCTAGAATATAAGGTAATAGTTTTACCAAGTGAGTTAACACTTCATGGGTAATAAAGATGCTATTGGTTTATACATCCTGGCTAGACTTTGCAACATTGAATTGCTTTGAGGCTCATTTTCCACCTGAAGTTTTACAAGCAAGATATGTATGCACATAATGTTGGTATGAAATATATATTTCATACGTACAAGTGTTAACATACAAGTGTTAAGTAGTTAAAATTTCTAAGATAGTAATGGTTTATTATTATATACGTACTCTGTATTTAACTTATGAAATAAATCACTTAACTTAGGCCAAGAAGTGTACATAGCACTGATAACTGTGATAAGTGATAACCACTACTATAATGTGAAAATTTAAGTATAATACTCGTACACATTTTAACAAAGGGACAAATATTTGGACGGAGGAGTACAAAATTCTACACTTTTCCATCAAAACGAATCAAACTCCAAGCATCCAACTAGCTACTGTGTATAATCTTAGACCTGAACAAGTAATTGGGGTTAGCTACTGTGTCCTAAACCCCAAGTTGGGTTATAAGATATGGCCCATATGGGTGTTTTATCGTCTATGTCCATTCTAGCGTACTATGTATAACAATACAGGGGACCTTCCACCGGGACCAATCTGGGCCCAGCCCCGTGTAATTATTTAACTTTATTATGTTGCGATATAGTGGTTTATTACGAGTGAGAGGCAAGAGATTCAATAACGATCCCAATATTTTTAGCCAAGATATACCATTGTATACAACAAAATCATGCACGCACTTTATTCCGTTAAAGTTAATATTCTGCAAATGTAGACTGTATAAAGTCCTTATATGAAGTACTTATTAAGTTTGTACATTAATATATATTCTCCTGTTTATTATTATTTTTTTTGACAAATATAGTCTCCTATTATATCAAACAGGATCTTGCTAACGAACGCCCCGGGGCATTGGATAATTATTTAAAATATTACCTAAAATGGTATTAATTTGGGAAAGCATGACAAAAATCACGCTCGATCGGTGTAATTAATGTTCATTTTAATTTAATTCTATTTTTAGCTAGCTTATCCAAAACGCCATAGGGGCGTTCTTTAGCTTTTGCGTATCAAACAATAAAATCACACGTCACAACTGATGACATATTAATATGAAAATTCTTACAAGTTTTTTTTAGCAAATTTATTACTCTTTATATGATTAAAAATTTATAAATGAACAAAAATCATCAAATGAGTACCAAAAAAAAAAAAGGTGCATCAAGGTGCATAAAAAGAGGTTTGCACACTAATAGTTAATGATATCATAATCTTTTCTACTCGCAATATATATATATTAATTCAATACATGAAAATATATTTACAAATAAAATAAAATAAAATAAAATAATCCTAAATTTATGACAAAGATTATCATTCTATAATCTCTATCAAATACAAACCCTCCAAGAAACTTTTTAAAAGGCCAAAGCCCATATCATTCATGAGGCTTAAATCCAGTTTACCAAGGACCCAAGGCCCAATTAAATTTTATTATTTTAAGTTCTCCAGTCACTGGGAGTCTGGGACGATGATCAAGCCCAAAATTATGCAAACATCAAACTATACTTCTACCCTCCATTTGTTGGTTTGTTTTAATTTTTATTAATTTATATTTTTAAATCCTAGGGACATAGCCACATAACTATTATCAGAAGTAAAATCCACAATTATATAGAGGGTATTATTGTATTAATAAATTAATAGTGCTTCCAAAAATTTGGGTTTTAACTTTTGCACAAATCCTTTTCAAATAAGGCGCTAATAAATACACCATTTTCCCCTAAGCAACTTTACTTTATGTTCTTGTCGAAAAAATGACTTTATGTTCTGAATATTAGATACTGATATGTATTTACAAGCTACTTTATTTTATAAGTTATCATAAAAATTGTGTCAATTGATTAACATTTGCCAATAACGTTTTTTAGTTGAAAGGAGTTATTTATTTAAGTTATTAGGACAATAAATAGGAATTTAAGATTTTTATTTATTTAGAACAACATCCTCCAAAATAGAGGATTCACACCAAGCTCATTTAGTGTGTAGGACCAAATAATAATAATAATAATAATAATAATAATAAGAGACACATAGTATATATGGATCCGACTTAATATCGAGTTTCTTTAAATGGTCATAGTAAAGTCTCAATTGTGCTTCAATAAATGGATCCATGAATTGTTTGAAAAATAAGAGAGAAAAGCAAGAAAAAAGGAAGCAACAATTTGACAAG